GGACAAAGTTTGTGTCTTTTCCATTGTTTAAGCACTGCTTCCAGCCAAGAGTGATACCATATATGCCCCATAGCTGCAGAAAAGGCTAACATTGTTATCTTTTTACAGAAAAACAGCTGAACATGAGAGGTTTTTGGACCAATTTTGTGTTCTCCATTCTTTAAGCACCGGTTTGATCACCTTTTGAGCACCGGCACCGTTTCAAAAGTACTGATTTGGCACCGGTATCGGATAAAACCTAAACGATACCCATCCTTAGCGGAGCCATTGTGTTGTTAACAGTCAGACTAAGGTCATCACATTTACAGTGTAGTTAAAACACACACACACATAAATCATCATGAAATCAGTACTCAAACTTAACCACGTGATGCCAAACGCTCTGAAACAAACATGAATCAAATAACTAATCATTTGCACGCAGCAGTGACGATATACTAGCGTCTCAATAAAGATCACACTGTCGAATAAATATGAAATTCAAGGTTATTTCTCCCCCCGAAGCACGTGAAGTCGAAGAGCTGTCTCACCTGAGCAGGTTCACCTGAACAAACAAGTCCAAATGCACCTTAGTGCGGCGTGAGAGCAGAAGCACACCTGCACTTGGAGCCCAACAGCTTCTGTGGTCAGTTTAACGTTTCCAGTTTATCTAGACTCCGTCACTCACACAGTATCTCTGTGCGTTTAGATGCGGTTTTCACATTTAAAACATCTGGAGGTTCACCTGCTCAGGCGGGGCCACAGAAACGTGTCACCTGTCGTGTGTTCATGCCCCCAGAGTCGGAGTAGTGACGACAGGTTGCAACGCTAGAAACACTTCTCAGTCTTTTTTATCTCCAATTTGCTGCTGTTTATAGATTTTTCAGCTTCTCTGCAGTCTGTTGTTTCACTTCGTATTGCCTCATAAAAACTTTCATATAATTTTATTTTAGTCTAAAAGGGAAATAAAAATATTAAAGTCGCATTCAAACAGTCAACAGAGGCACATTACCAAAAATAGTCCAAAAATGGTGAGAACAATATCCGCTATACGGAGTCCAGAGAGTGCCACTCTAAAACGTTTAATTATAATAAATTTGTAATTTCACATTTATATGAAATAATTCACAAGTTAACTTGAAATTTTAAACACTACAAACCAAGCCAAAAAAAGTACTAATAAAACTTTATAATAATTTTTATTTCTGACATTTTTTTTCATAAAAATAATAACTTTATCAAAATAATAAAAAAAAACTCTCTTAACCCTCTTAACCCTAAATATCCCACTACTTTAACCCCGTGTTTAAGAGAAAAATAAACATACTTCATACACTCTGTTTTTGATATTTATTAGAAAGAATTTCTTCCTCATATTATAATATTATTATTTAGACTTACTTAAATATCTATTTAATCCTTATTGCATAGCTTAGCCAGTTTAATATTTTTGTTGTTATAAGTTTGATTATTATTATTAAACACTAAAAAATATAATATTTAATTTGGCACCTTGCAGACTCCCTACAGTCACCTGTATTTCTGCAGCTCAGCAGTCTCTCTCACACACACACACACTTTTTCTGGTAGAAAAATAAACCACAGTACGTGATGCGACGGGTCGGATGGATCTGAAGCAGAATCATCAGGCAGCAGAAATTTGAAATTTGCACAAAAAAAAGAAAAAAAGCCAGCGTTTCCACACATGTTGGTGGTGATGATGAGGCGTGATCCGGCGGGTTTACACGTTGATGGCATGAGCGTGCTTCTTGCACAGAGGTTTATCTTTCTTTGAGTAGAAGGGCTGACCCTCGAGGTTCACGTGGCAGACCTGCAGACGAGAAAACCGGGATGAAAAACTTCAAACTGACCTCTGCTCCCCTGCATCGAAGATTTAAACAACCGGACCCCCTCAGACCCAGCTGCTCGTGGTCCTTACCGCACAAACAAAGCAGGTATCGTGCCAGGTGTGACCCAGAGCCTCGATGAACTTATCGCCAGCTTCCACTGGGAAGTCGCACCCATGACACTTAGTGCTGAACAGCGCGATGTAATCTGAGCGACACAGAGATAGGAAGTGTTGAAGATGGCAGCCGTGAGTCCAAAAACCGTGAATCATGAAGTATGTAATCCCTGTTAATCTGTTTCACACACTTTGTTCTACTCTTGGATCTTTTTGATGTCACACAGGGCACACAGAAGCTCCACACACTTGTTGTTTGTGGGGGCAGGGCCAATCAAAAGAAAGAGGAGTTAAAATTGAGGGGCTGCACTGAGACTCTGATTAGCAGTTCCTTCTCTGAGCGTGATGCATGTGACAGTTTTTTGCGTCTGCCTGATGTCTGTGCAGCTTTTCTCGCAGCTGTGATGAAGGCGTGGTGTCGGCATACCTTTCTCGCAGTACGGCTCTCCGTCCTCCATGTGGAAGAGGCTGTTTCCAAAGGCTTTCCCACAGGCAGCGCACACAAAGCAGGTGGTGTGCCATGTCTGCCGTAGGGCGTGCATCACTTCCTGCGACATACAGCGTGACAAGATTTAATAAGGTCTAATCAGCCTCTAGTGTCACATATGGGTGGCATTTCAGTGCAAAACTTATGGTTTTATAACATTAAATAAAGGAAAATAAAATCAGAAATGGTGTCTGAAAATTTCTCACCCCCATGATCTTGGTGTTGCAGCGAGCGCAGGTCGGGGCGAAAAACTCCTCGTAGCAGTTCTCACAGTACACGTTGTTCTGTTCCTCCACGAAGCTGACGTCAGCCAGAGACATGTGGCAGTAGTGACAGTTAAACTCCTCGGGGTGCCAGGACCGGCCGAGGGCCACCAGGAATGGACCCCTGCAACAACAGCAGCAGCATTTTAAGTAATTTGATTTTAATTTGCCCTTAAAGTGACATCGTTTCATTAACGTCACTCGTTTTAACCCAAAGGAGGAACCTCAGGAGCAAAATAATAAAGCACCAACAGCTGCAGTTCCTCTGATCTCCACTTGAGGCTCCAGAAGTGTGTCAGTGCGTTACCTGATGACGCTGTTGCAGGCCCCGCATAGAGGCGTGCGACTGCTGGCTGCAAACCTCTCCGCTCTTTGGGCCACGCCTCTGGCCACAGGTGGAAAGGGGGCGGGGCTAGAGGTCATGGGTCCAGGGCTGGGGGTGATGGGGGCGGGGCTGGGAGCTGCATGCCCAGCAGGGGAGGGGTTAGGGATGTACGCTGGTGGGGGAGGGGCGGCCTGGGGCAGTGGCTGCACCTTGATGGTGCTGGAGGTGGTCTTGCCGGGGTCAAACTTATCAGCGAAGTTTGAGTCGGTCACCCACGGGGGTCTGTTGGAGGATGCTGGAGCAGCCAGAAGCGGGGCCGGGGCGGCGGCTGGAGGGCGGTGCTGCGGTGGCACTGCAGCTGGAGCCATAGGTGGTGCTGTGGGTGGAAGAAGTATAAATATGTGTATATAAATATTATATGTGCAAGTTAATATAAACAAAACAGAAACTCACCTGGCTGTGAAGGGTAGATGCAGGCAGTACTGACTACCTTAGGGGGGGCGGAGCCAACAGGGATCTGAATTGAGCTCTGTTGAGTGGGTGGAGCCTGCTGTGTGGGTGGTTGTTGGTACTGCTGTGGCATTGGTTGATACTGCTGTGGGGGCCGAGCTTGTGGAGCTTGCTGCATAGGTGCATGTTGGTATTGCTGTGGTATTGGCTGGTACTGCTGTGGGTGTGGAACTTGTGGCGCCGGCTGCATGGTAGGATGTGCACCGTACTGGCTGGAGAGGGAAAGAAATGTCATTATTACCTATTTTGAATGATTTCCAAATGGTTCTGTCATCAGGTTCAGTTTTGTACTTGGGGGCTCGTCCGGGATTTTTAGTCATAGTGAGCCTCAAGTAGTTAGCCTCAGTGGTAGTTATGGTATTAACTACTTCAGGTTGTACTCAAAAAAAACTTTAACTAAGCTAAGCATGTTTCGAACCACAAGCTAAGTTAGTCATCAACACTGACTCAAATTGTAATCTCATCAATGGGTGTAAAGATCCTGAAAGATGCGTTTTTCATTGTTGTGTCTGACTTTTAGGCTGTAACACTGTGTTATTAAGAATTTAATGCTTTCTTCTAGCAGTTTCCATCGAATATATGTGGAATTCACTAGATTTACTTTGATAAATATTCCAACATTGAATGAAGTTTTAGCTGATATTATTGATGTCTTTGACATGCTTACATGTTCGTGCATTTCATTAGCTATATCAGATATTTAAGATAAAGATAAAGTTTTGCTGTTGTTACACACACAGTAGAGCTGGGTACATAGGAAATCTTCTGCAGAGCTTAGAGTCAAACAAATACTATATACATGTAGTATTTATATTATGTAGTCATTTATCCATGTGATTAGAGTGAATCAGAAACACTTTTAAAAACTTTTAAAAAATTAATAGCTCCATCAGTGGAGCTATTAATTTGAACTACATTTCAACAATCAATTTAGTTTCTAGCTAGCTTTTCTAGAGTACATTTAACTATTTTCACTTTTTTATATATTTATGAATTTTCAGCTAAAAAATGACCCATAACGTTGAACTCTTTCAGCAGTTTTGCTGATTTTAGTGTTAACCATGTGCTTTTCGGGTTTAGGTAACTGTTTCTGCTGGTTTTAAATTTCTCTCTAAACTGTTTAACTAACCTTTCTTCTAATTTTTGTGAATATGGCGGTTAGGGTTAGTCTAGGCTTCCAAGCATCCCCTGAGGTGCAGATACTCACTGTTTTTAAACAGAAACCTCTACAGACCACGTTCAGGTTTGCTTTGCATCCTGGACTGAGTCAAAAATGCTCTTAAACTGGTTCTAACTGTGAATCGTCATCTGAATATAGATAAGTTGCAGTAAACAGTGATTACAGCCAGGCTGCTGCACTGTTTTGTGAATCAAAAATTAAATTTGTGAGCCAAAAGTTGGGCTTTGGAGTGATTCGAATGTTTATGATGTTTTTACACTCTCTGGATGTGTCAATATAATATTGTCACAGACAACAAGCATATAGAAACTAGCATCAACAGCTTGTTTGAAAGAAAGAATAAAATGTTGAGCAGGACAGAAGCACAAAGGGTCCTCTTTCAAGAAGTGTTGACAGGTTTTGGGGTGTAAACCTGCAGTTTTTCTTTCTGGGGGTATCAGTCTCAGGTCTGGGTGTTTAGCAGCAGCTTAGCTGTATCAGACTTACCTGATGTAAACAAGGTTAGTGTTAGGGTAGAGGGCTTCAAACCAACTGAATTCAGCTTCATTAACAAACAGCAACAAAAGCTTTAAGGTCCTTCCTTCAGAGGGCATTAGCAGAGACTCAGCCTGTTATTCAGCTGATGAAACGATGGTGAGGTTACTGACTGTTACTCAGGTGTTACATGATCCGGACAAAACTGCCAGAGTTATGGGTTCAAACACCACCCGTGCACAAAACCCTAACAATCCACTTGTGTGCCGCCAGGAGTTTTAGCTGAAGAAGCCTCCGTTTAAAAGCAGCTGCTGTGTTACTGAGTGCTGTGAAGCCCACAGCCGCGAGCGCACCTGCCCGCAGGGGTTTGTACCTGGAGACTGCAGCTCTGTACTGGAGGCCGAAACCAGCGGCAGGCTGTCTCTTCAGGCTGCGGGCATAGAGACAACAGCAGCAGAGGTCATCCAAACTGAGACGCTACGTCCCCATCCTGACCCCCGCTCTCTCCCCCCTGATGTTACTCAGGTGCGACTCGGATTGACCATCAACCTTTTTCTTTCTGTCTAACAAATAATCAATAATCGAATCAGGACCCAAAGACCCAAAAATAAGAAACTCCATCGCCTTCACCAGACCAACAACGCCACAGACAGAAGATCCTTCAGGAAACTGCCAGACAGCTTAAAGACAGCCGACAGGATGACGTCACCTCGCTGCTTTGGTCTCAGAAACATTGGATCAAATGTCAAAAAGGTTTTTTTCTATTCTGCAAAAACATTTGTACAAAGCACAGAGATCAAACCAGAGGAAACTCTGACACGATCACTCAGATGTGGTTCCTGAAAGACAGTAATGGCTCTGAAGCGTGACAACTATGTGGATTTAGTTCAGTGTAACTCCAGCAAATGAAGAAACAACAAAAAGCCGAAAAACAAGCAGATGAAACCCACATGTCAGACTCTCCCTTCAGCACGTGAATGCAACACTAAAAGTCTGGGAGCATATATCCTTAAAAAAATCACATCAACACACCAAAGCTTTGGAGAGCCAAGAGGTGATTATTATTTCCTGCTGAGCAAACAGACCATTTGTCCAGGTTTTTATTTTATTTTACTGAACTCTGTTTTATTCCCCGTGTCCCATCATGTGCTGATGTCATGGCTGATCTCAGCTCTTAACCCCTTGATTTTCTTCCTCCTTGCACTCTTTGCAACCTTGTCACTGTGTCTCTTATAATCATCGATGAAGCTGTTTAAGCTGCACAGACCTGCATGAAAAGAAGTCAGCGTAAGCCCAGGTGGATTTAAACACTCTGATTATCTCAGTTTTTTCCTCTTGGATCTGGATGGTGTCATAGAGGGTGGCTATTCCTAATATAGTCATCGCAGACGCCAAAGCCACACCCACCAAACTTGGCCTAAATGCAGGAGGAGGAGCTAAAACAGCTTGTTTCAGACGCAGGATGAACTGTGACTCATGCAAAGCTGCAGAGCTTCTATTTAACAGATTAGCTCTGCTTTAAAGGAACAGAGAGACATCGTAGGACATAAACTTTTATTCTGAGAGTGTTTTCCTGCACACGATAGATTATTTTGATTTGTGAAACATGCAAAGCTACTTCAGAAAGGCTTTTAAAAACCTAATTTATTTGCTTCTACTCAGTTTTTCTTTCCATGGACAGAGGAATAAGACAAAGGATTTTATATTTAGCCAACCAACATGTGTTTGTTAGTCAGAGCCAGTCAGCACTAGTCATTCTACATTAGAGGTGTACGGACACCAGCTCCTTGTTTCAGGCTGAGGACTTTGCTGCACAAAGCCATTCAGACAAATAAGAAATAATTAAAACTTGTGCCAGAATAAGAACACAGATCCTGAGATAAGCAGAATAAACCACCTTTAACTGATAGATTTTTCCATTTCCCAGCATGATCGGGATCATGAAGCTGGATTTTGCAGTGAAAAATTTCTTTCTGTGTCTTTGCTTCTCTGCTTTGAGGCTTCCAGCTCAGCCCTGTGAGTCTAATCCAGCTGCTTCCTCCTTGATGACTTACAGCTAAAGAGAAAAAAAGCACACAGTCTCTTTATTGGCGGATAAAAGCTTGACCTCTGCTCCTATTGATTCACGGTGAGTCATTGGACGGCGTATGGACTCTGACGAAGGACAGAGGGGAGCCGGAGCTTTGAGGGGGAGGAGGTTGTATTTCAGTCCAAATTAGGGGGGGGGCAGAGATCGATGGTGCATAATGGAGGGTTGATTAAATAAGTGCACGGAGAATAGAAAGCTCCATCCATCAGAGCTGGGACGGGCTGTACGGGTGGGGCGGGGTTGAAAGGTTTGCTCATCCTCTCGGAGACTCGGCTGTGATGAGATTTCAGACGAGCCGCTGGGAAAACAGGAAGTCATGGAAAACAGACTGAGGGCAGTGACACCTTCAGAGGTCGTCAGCGGACGTTCGGCCCAGCCCTCACCTGCAGCTCACCACACCTGGCTTGTCTGACAGCGCGGACTCTTAGACCGTCCTCGGCCACATAAAGCCCTGTTTAGGACTTCTGAGCCACGCAAGGTTTAAGGTGGTGTAACTGAGATATAAGTAGCCATGTGTCTGCCGTCTGAGGCACCTGATCCCTGAAACTAGCATTAGACCCAAAACTCTTAAACACAGACACTTATTTGCACATGCTAAGTCACAGCAGCCTGTTTAAACTGGGCATGCTCCAAACCTGACAGTCTCAGCTGTTCATGTTTCTGCAGGTGAAATGTGGAGATTTTAACTGCGAGCTGTGAGCTTCACCGCCTGTTGATAACCTGATGTCTGCAGAGTCCTGCAGAGTGTCGAGTACCTGCAGGCTGCATACTTTAGTTTGACTGTATGACGTCACACAGGCTGAGAGTAAAAAGTCTGCTTTGTCACGTTTGCGGTTTTTGCTTGACTTTCAATTTTTCCTGCCTCGGCTAAACGTGACAATAAAGAGCTGGAGGATGACTCTCCTCTGCACACTGGTTTTCTCTCTTTAACCAATCAACACCAGTTACCAGTAATCAATAAAGAAAGGACCAAAGAGGCGGGGAGTCCCTCGTGGTGCCCCACCAATTTTTTAAATGATGTTTCCTCTGAGCAAATACACACACACACACATTCTCGTTTTGATATCTCAGTGAGGACATCTATTTGACAGAATCCCTAGCTACTCACCTCAACCAAAAATGAACCCCAGCCATAACCTAACTGTAACCCTGAGACTAAACCCACACTATGAGCCTCAAAAATGCCTTCAAACCCGTGAGGACGAACACTGTCCCCACAAGGACGTCTAAACCGGTACACACACACACACACACACACACACAGTCCGGTGTCCCCTCCTGCTGGTCACATGAGCTCATTACACGTGAGCAGATTCAAAAGGCTTCAGACACCAACCAATCACATCGCGTTTACGTATATATCAGAGCCTCAAACAGAGACCGCCTGTGCAGGTGTTCTCATGTCCGGGGCAGATGAGGTCGAGACTACAGGTGAGGGGGTCAGCAGCTGACTACTGGAGCTCTGCTGCCTACCTGCTCCTCTTCACAGCCGCCGCCTCCTCTTCAGTGAGCGCTGTAACAGAAACAGAGGAGAGGGGGCGACACTGAGCACCTGATGATCAGATTTAATTTTAAAATCATTCCCACAGGTAATCGTTTACTCTAATTACACACCTTTGTTTGTATGGAAACATACATGAGTCTGTTCTTGCTTTTATTTGCTCTTTTAAATAATTGAGGACAATACAGGGAGGAAGAAGAGGAGGAAGAGGAGGAAGAGGACACTTACAGGACTCGGTGCCGGTCATGTGGGCCAGGACCTGGAAGGACTTGGACTGCACGTTGGTGCTGCGGCGGCTCCATTCGCTCAGCTCCGGGTCCTTCTCTGTGCTCTGGACGGCCTGATAGACCAGCGAGGCGCTGTCCACGAGGCGGTCCATGACTGGGACAGAACTGGGACCACAGACAGTGAAGCACAAGCTGTGGGCCCAGCAGTGAACGGAAACAAGTTTTCCCTGCCCAAAGTTTTGACGTCCTTCTAACCCTGGAATTAAATATCTGATATTTCAAAGGTCACACGAACAAAACGTTACTGAAGGTGATGGAGCCAAGAGGAAGCCGGACTCGCATGTCTGAGGACGGTTTGTTAGAAAAAGGAACAAACGTCCAGCCCAGGCAGACCTGAACCTTTCTGCTCATTTCTACTTCCTTATTTATGTTCTTTGTCTTGTCCTGCACCTCGCAGCAGCTCACCCTGTTTGAAACCAGCTGTTCTGCCTGCTTGCTTCTGATTGGCTCTCTCTTATAAACGGAAACCTCGGCAGGTTTTTTTTTGCAGCTTTGGTCATTTTTCTGAACATCCACCAGTTTGTGCTGTGAAGTCAGTTTCTTCTCTTTCAGGCTGTTTTCAGTCTTTTAATCTTTGTGTGGATGTTCGGGTCTCTTTGTGGTTACAGATGCCAACATTAAAAACTATTAATGACACCATTGTGTTGTTTTCCATCTTTCTGAGGTTTTTTTTAGTAGCTTGAAATCTTTTGTTGTTCTTTAAGGCCCCTCTACCTGCAGTGCACCTGTATTTGGCTCCGCCCTGCAGGACTGCAGCCTGTCGGCTGATTCTGGTGACACGTGTCATGTTTCTGTCTTGTGTTTGATGTTTGATCTTTCAAAGCTTTAACACAACTCAGGGGAATCAAAGCTTTTACTGGCTCTCAGTGAAGGACGCACGGTGAGGGAGGAGGAGGATATCATACTGGACTGTAATTGGTTTTCCAGAGATGCCCCCTCCTGTACAGATGAGTAGTTTTATTCAGGCTTATATTTCAATAAGAGCGGCTTTATCGGGGTCTAAAATTAGAGAGGCTGAAATAAAGAATGGGCATGGAGACCTTTGAAGGGGGACAGTACACAGTGACAGCGCTACATCTCAGAGGAAGAGCAGGCGAGGAAGACACCACCAAAAACACAGCAGTAACATGGCTTTATCAGCAGTTTCTGACAAATCAGTGCAACTCTGAGCTGGAAATGCATTCGGCAACAAGACGATAGGCAACAGGGTCAAACGTGATCACGAGCGAAGAAATTGGGATGACCTGCTCAGACAGAGGGAACGTCTCTCTGGGGGACATTTGACTCGGACTGGTCCACCTCATACGGACCGACTCCCACAGCACACCCGAGGCTTCAGCCACACAACACACGACGCACAAAAAAACAGGATCCCAGAGCAGCCCGAACCAAAAATTCTGCTTTCTGATATCACGGAAACCTTAGCAGTTCCTCGAAGCCACCACAGAAGAAGTCCCCCTCTCCCCACATGTGCACAAACAGGCAGCACAATATTGCAGCACCAAAATCATCACCACCAGTGTCAGCGATGAGCCGGACGTGAAGCGGGCTGAGACCAAAGAGGACGGACAGAAAGGAGAGGACAGGTGGAGGACACTTAAATAGAGTAAAGAGAAGAAAAGGGAGGAAGAGGCAACGAAGGGAAAAAGACAAAAACAACAAATGAAAAGTAATTTCTCATCAAGAAATATCTGTGGGTTGAGTACTCGAAGCATCAGCCTGTAAACTGAACGCTGCTGCCTGTAACACATCCACGTGTTAGAAAACTACAAATATGGATGATCAGCCCTCAGCAGGACTGATAGTAACTGTGTCAGTCATTACCCAGGTGGTGTTGTGGCTTTTGATGTTTTTGATACTGAGTGTAAAAAACTGGTGGCAGGGTTGAGGGGTGCACGTGGGTACAGAAGAGGAAGATGAGGATGTCAGGAGGAAGAATTAGAGATAAGTCAACGTAGAAAGAGGGAAGGAGGACGTGGAGAGGGAGGAGGAGGTGGTGTTCATACCCAGCGTCGTGGCCCTTGGTCTGTGTTTGTCCCGCGATGGCGTCCATGATGGAGTCCTGTGAATACATACTGATGGGCGTGTTGTACTGGGCGTGGATGATGGTGGCCTTACCGCCGGGGCCTTTTACTTCAATGGGCTTGCTGGTGGAGAGGGCGGAGTCCATCAGCACGCTGGGATTGAAGCCGGCACTGTCGGGTGGGGAAGAGGAGGGGAAAAGGTGGAGATAAAGGAGGCGATGGAGGGACGGAGGTGAGGCGTGTGGGTGAAGGTGATGGGTTTGTCATGCTCACAGCAGACGGACTAGTGAGGCTAAAGTTTTCAGGCTAAAGCTGAATGTTTCCAACAGAATCTCCATTTAAGGTGGAAACCCCACCCACAGCATCACGACAGACTACAGAAAACTCTGAGTGGCGTCCCACAGCGATCCGTTCTCCGCCCACTCAGACTCAAAAATTATGCTGACTTTGATTCATTTGATTACATGTAAAAAATGTATGTTGTAAAACAGATTCCATTAAATATAAATTAGATTTGTGTGATTGAGGTTCACAGGATTAACTGTTAATACCAAGCAGGTCTTCCTTAATTAATTTGAACAAAAGAACCTTTGATTTAATAGATTTCATCTGCATTTTATTTACAAGTCTGCTTCACATTCATGAGGGTGAAGAATCTTTTGTTTTTAGTGCATTATGCTCTAGATAATAACAACAAATATCAGGCATATATCTGTTTTTTATGTATATGTTTTTTAAGGCTAATAATAATAATAATAATAATAATAATAATAATAATAAATTCTTCACATGACTGTAAAGTACAACTATAACGTGTTTATTAAATCACCTCTCATGAATCAAGAAAACACAAATATTGTCTATAAATCTGTCAATAACAACAATATCAGATCAATAGTTTTTGGGGAAAACAAAAAAGTGAATATTTTATAGCCAAATTTGTGAAGGTACAACTTTCAATAATAATCAAACCAAAATTCAAACCAAGTTTTTACAATCTGCATGTTCAGACATGCAGATTATTATTATTATGATTATGATTATGATTATTAATATTAATAATAATAATAAT